CAATTACCCATGATAACAATTACTCACTATTGAATCAAGAGTCCTATCCCCATCTCCTTTCACCAGACCCATTTGGTGGTGGTTGTGCCATGAAGTCGGAACCAACTCATAGCGACTCTGTACAGGGTTTCTGAGGCTGTAAATCTTTACAGGAGCAGAAAGCCTCATCTTTCTCCCATGGAGCAGCTGGTAGTTTCGAACTGCTGACCTTAAGGTTCAGAGCTCAATTCATAACCATTATGCTACCAGATCTCCTTTACCAGACCCATCTAGACAAGATGAAAACTATTCAATGAGGATTCTACCTTCCTCCTATACACTCTGAGACTAAATGTCCTCTTGAAAACTTGTAAGCCAGCCACTTCATGCCTTTATAGCCTCTTCCCCCACACCCCCATTTTAGGTAGCCAATGTCTAAGTTGCCCATCCCTATCAATCTTATATACCAAGAGGACAAGGTTGATCCTTGAAGTGAAGACTCCTTTCCTCTCAAGTTAGTATTTGCCATTTGACCATTCCAGCTGCTCCTCTGAAACCTTATACAGGGTTGTGACTCAACAGCACTTAACAACAATAACAACAACAACAGCATTTAAAACACCTTAATGGGTTGTTTCATTTAGAAGTTCTTTTTTTTCCCTTGCTATCAGAGTAAAAGCTGTGGTTGGAATTTTTTCCAATTCTTGTTATTTACAGCTACTTCACACATCACAAAGGGGTGTGATTATTTTGGTGAAAAGTATAGAGACACACAGTTCTTAATCCCAACCTCTATGGTTGATGTTAGGACAACTGAAAATAATTTGGGACAGTACTATGAAGGTGAGCACTGAAATGGTTATATTTTAATTAATCTCCACAAATTCCTCCATTTAAAAAAACTTGTCTTGACTTCAGGTGCTTTCTCACCTTCTCCCTGATTAATGATATTTGGGTTATCTTCAACTTCTTTTGTTTCTGTAAGGGTTTCATATATTTTCTGGGCCCTGATAATTTCTTTCTGTGCATCAAAATGAACTTTCTGCCAGGTCAGGAGGGGAACAACTAAATTGAAATCATCAATTCGCTTATTTAATTTTCTGATGTTTTCTTGAAATTGCTCGCATAGTTGGTTCCACTCTCTCTGTTCGATTGTTGTCATTGGATTCCCAAGTTTTTTTCTCGATGCTAAGATTCCCTCTCTTAGTTGATTAATAGTATCTTTTATTTCCTTTTGCATTAGGATCCATTCTGGTTGATATCCATTATCTATCAATATTCTGTTTAGATTGTGAGTCATGGGATCAATATATGAGCAGCCAGAAAATTTTTTGAGAGGTTTTCCTTTCCCACTGAGATTGTCAAAGTCTCCTTTTGCCATGGATTCCTGAATGAGATCCTCCACCAAACGCTCAATTGCTTGAGTTATCTTTTGTTTTTTACTCTCTCTTACATCTTTAATAATTAAACTATCAGCAAAATATTGGCTGTATAGTTTATGCTTTTGATATTCCATCACTTGTTCAGTTGCACGGTCTGCTCTAAATTGCCGATATTGCTTCTCTCGTTGACTTGGAGTTCCCAAACCAACACCTTCAAAACTTAAGTAATGCCGGTGCTGGGGTGTTTTGTATTTGAATTTATCTTCTTCTTCTGCATCATCAGCTTTCTTCTGTCTGGCATTTGTTTGTTGTATCACATAAGAAAGCACATTCCTGTAAGCTTCTTCAATCTTAATAAACATTACAGAATCTGCTGTACTAGAGCCACTGTCTGGATGGTATTGCTTGGCAAGCTTGCGAAAAGATTCTCTGACATCATCTGCAGAGCATTCTTCATCAAGATTCAACAATCTATAATACTCTCTGATTTTCTTTTTGGATTTATGGGTTGATATCATTCTATACCTAATGACACCAAAAGATGAAAGTATTTTCATTCGATTAGGAATCACTGAAGCATTTATCAGGAGAGATTTTATTATTTGAGCCTTCATCGGACACATTGGGTTCATTATTGTACTGTAGTTCTTCCTAGCAGAGATCTATAAAATAATAGATATAGGTTGAAAAAAACTGTATTATCAGTTAATTTCATATCTTCAACAATAGAGAAGATAGTACATGAAATTACAAGTATAATAAGGGACAGTTCTTTCTAATGGTGCTGCTAAAATTCTTACATCTATAGTCTATTTCACTGATGTTTGCAGAAAAATGAAATAAGATGTTTAGCATTAACACATTGTGATGTAATTTGGATTCTACTCCTCATTAACTACAGAATTTTAGAGCTGTAACATTCTTGGTGGTGGCGGTTTTGTGCTGTGGAGTTGGTTTCAACTCATAGGGACCCTGTACAAGATTTATGAATTTGTAAATCTTTACATGGGCAGACAGTCTCATCCTTCTCCCGTGATGCGGCTAGTAGATTCGAACAACTGACCTTTCAGTTAGCGGCCCAGCTCATAATCCACTACACGGCTAGTGCTCCTTTAGAACAGTCTTAGAGATCATCTAATTCAATTTTCCCATTTTATGAGAAAATGTAGCTCCAAAAGGTTACAGTGCAAACAGGTCACATAGCAAGGCATAAGCAAATGATTAGAGTTAGAGTACACTAAGGACACTTGCTCAGTAGGCTGTGTCCCTAACATTGTAAACTTCATGAAGGCAGGGCCCATAGTAGTTTTGTTCACCAGTGCAACCCCACTACAGTAAGAGAAGACTTCAAAATGTTCATGGAAAAATGGAATAAAAAGATCATGGAATTTTCCCCAGAAGACCCCTGGTATGTGACGTTGTGTTATTGTGTAGTAGCATCAAGTCATTTCATGTGGTGTTATAGTGGGTACTCAAATATATGTTGTTATTGTTGGTGTTATTAAGTGCTGGCTAGTGCGTTCTAACTCATAGCAACCAACAGAACAAAAACCTCCCTGACCTTTTGTTGTAGTGAAGTGCTGTTGAGTCAGTTCCGACCCATAGCGGCCCTGTATATGGTTTCCGAGGAGCAGCTAATGAGCTTGAACCGCCGACCTTGCAGTTCAAACGGCTTTGTAGTCTGGCGCATTAACCCACAGCGCAAAAATCCATACTATGTTTTGAGCCCACTGTCGGAGCCACTGTATCAATCCATCTTGTTATATAAACATATATACATAAATATATTTGTACATGTGAAGTACTTTAACTTTCTCACTAATTCCCTAGCTACCTCAAGTGGTGAAATGACTACTGCTCTACATTTTTACCACAATTATTTTGTATTTGTTTCTTTTTTTATGAAACCCCAAAAGAGTTCATGTGTGAAGCACAGAGTTAGCATGGTGCTGGATGCCATGGAAATACAAAGGAAGTAAATCATTTTGTTTGTTTGTTTATTGCATGATCTTCCTGGTCTCAACGAGTCTTCACAAAGAAAATTACACACATGAAACAATTAGAGAACATTATAATGGTGCTTAAGTGAATAGAACGAAATGTCTGAAAGTCTTTTAAGCCTTTTAGGAAGGAGATGCAATGCTAGACACCGGGAAAACCAATAAGGGTGGACCCTACCAAAATGTTAGTTTTTTAAAAAACAACACACGGTCTAGTACAGGAGACAGACAGTGGCAAGAAAATGCTGGAAATAGCTTAATTGGAAGTGGGATTATTATATGCAAACGCTAAAATTGAGCTCCCAGGGATTCCAGTTATCTGAACAATTGGGATCAAAGGTTTTTTAGTCGGTTGGGACAGTAGTAATTACCCTTATCTTCCCTTGGGGAAGAGAGGTCAGCTTACACTGAGGAGACACCCCGCCCCCTACTCACCTTTGCAGACCCCAGGAAGGGGTTCAGAGACTCGCCACCCCTCCCCCCAAGTGCTGTGTCTGCGCATGACTGCGCGGTCTGCTCTTTGCTCCCAAGGCTTCACTGACGCAGCTAGTGTCATTACTGGACTAGACCATCTGTCACTGTACACGGAGGGGTCCCCAGGAAGTGCGGAAAGCAGAATAATATCTGACTGGGACAAATGACCTACCTTACTAGGAAAACCGAGAATCTCTCTTAAAATGAACTCTACCCAGAAGGAAACCGGCAGGACATCTCAGGCGGCACTGTCCCCCGCCCGTCCCAGGTGACCTGCTCCGCCTCCAAATCCTGAGAGGAAGCGGTTCGGCCGATTGGGATTATGGGGGGTGTAGTTCGCCCAAGAAGGAGCTCTGGTAGCGTTGTTGTTGTTATGTGCCGTCGAGTCGGTTCCGACTCATAGCGACCCTGTATAGGGTTTCCGAGGAGCCGCTGGTGAGCTTGAACCACCGACCTTGCAGTTCAAACGGCTTTACAGTCTGACGTATTAACCCACAGAGCCACACCAGGACTCTTGGTAGCGTCAGGGGTTATGAACCTCAAGATCAGCAGTTCCGCAGTAGAAAGAGGAAGCTTTCTGCTTCCCTAAAGATTTACAGCCTAGGAAACCCTGTACAGGGGTCGCTGTGAGTCGTAACCGACTGCACGCACATAACCACCACTCTGGTACCAGTTTGCCCAAGAAGTCCTGGTGTGGCGCTGTAGGATCAGCATTGGACTGCTAACCGGAAGGTCAGGGGTTCAAGCCCACCAGCTGCTCTTATACAGGGTTGCTATAAGTCAGAGCCAATTTGATGGCAATTAACAAGGTCGTCGGAAGTACTGTGCATTCTGTACTCTGTAGTCAACCACTTAGGTGGCACACTGAGGGTGGAAGCCCAGGAGACTGGAAAATTATGCTTGCGCCAGGACCCGGGCCCGTGCGGTGGTGCCAGGTTTGGGATTCTAAATGTTTTTGCGGTTCGATGGGAGACGCCCCTCAGCAAGGCATGTTTGGGTAGATGGTTAGGCCCTTTCTCTGACTGGTACCAGAACCTCCTCTGGGTTTGCGCAAAGACGTAAACGTGTCGGAAGTTAACAAGCTAGCAGTCGACCCTAGATAGAAGACATGTTTTCGGTTAGCTCAGCAAATACTTATTAACTAGTCACTTATTATTAGCTAGTCACTGGTAGCGGCCTGGGGACAGGGCAGAGGTAAAAATCAAAATAGAGGTCTCCTGACTTTGAATTCAACTACTGTCATGGGGATCTGTTGTTGTTATTAAGTGTAGTCGAGACAGTTCTGACTCATAGTGACCCTGTATAGGGTTTCCATAGAGCGGCTGATGAGCTTGAACCACCGACCTTGCAGTTCAAACCAAGCTCATTAACCCACAGTGCCACACACCAGGACTTCTGGGGATCTAGGTCTAGATCTAGCTCTCCTTATAGTTTTTTGTTGTTGTTGTTGTTTTAGGGGGTTAGGAGTTGGTTTTTTTTTTTTTTTAATTGTTTTGTTTTAGTTTTGTTGTGAGATATATATATAACAAAAAGTTTGTCATCTTAATTATTCTTAAGTGTATAGTTCAGTGACATTAAATACCTTCACCATGTTGTACTACTATCACCGTTAATGATTTCCAAAATCATGTCTGATAAATATAAATGTCACGAAACATTTGCCATTTCCACTTCCCTGTCAATGTACAGTTGCAGTAGTTTTTAAATTATCTTTAGCAAAATTTTACTTGCATGTCATATTAATAATATTGTTCAATAATTTCAGCATTCCATTGGGTCACCTCTCTTTGGAACAGGCACAAGTAGGGGTCTCTTCCAATCAGTTGGCCAGGTAGCTGTCTTCCAAATTTCTTGACCTAGATGAGTGAGTGCCTCCAGTGCTGCATTAGTTTGTTGAAAGAATTCAATTTGTATTCCATCAATTCCTGAAG